TTATATTCATACTCATTTTTTCCAAAAAATATTATACATGTGATAATTTTGTAAAATATAATAACATACCTGTTTAGGCCAAAAAAGGTAATTTGTACGCCATCCAATTGCGTTCGAGCTAGCGCCTCACCTGATTTGGTATGTAGGTGAGATAAACGCCGAGGTGGGGCGGCTGCGTGGGAGTCAGTCGCTCGACGCGTGGGCGAAGGGTCGGTGCCCCGCCAGCCACAATGCGGGGAAAACGTCAGGCTCTCTTACCTAAATTCACGGGCCCGTCGTGGATCTAGATAGCTAGATGTAGTACGTGCTTCTTCGTCACGTAGATATGTGAATTGTGCGATATTTAACTCGTGCGAGAGTGCGAAATAGTGTACGCGCATCGAGGAGATATACGGTCTAGGATTCGAGCCGCGCATTCCTTGTTTGAGAGCTTCTCCCGGTTAATTGGCAGGATATCGTTATCATTGGGTCGTCGCGTTAGTGCCTTTTTGTGTTTTGGTTGCCTAGTTAAATTTAATTTGCGTGTCAACGAGGCGTATTTTGAATCTTGTGCAACGTGTTATTCGATGTCGAATTTATAATTTGTGATAAGTGAATCCGGGACATTGAATATTGAACTTTGAACTCCTGTCCGTTGCCGTGTCGGGTATCACGTGTTCGATTCTGCGATGTGTGGAATTAGACGAATTGAAGATAGTTAAATGTACAATGAAGCTAAGGGACTGAATCAGTGACAGTGAAGAAAGAAGTGGTCCGGCGATGGAGCAGTCTGGAGCGATGCAGCATTTTGGAGCAGCCTGGAACTCGGCCGCTGCTGGTCGCCTATGCTTGCCAAGGCCCCACATATTCACACATCACTGTACACGACTCGCTATCTACCATTACACACACTGACGGCCTGCCCAAGCCTTGGAGCGAAGTTGGCTCCTGATACAGGTAAGTACCTTCGCTTTCTAGTTTGCTCCCATATAGTTTATTGTGATAGGAAATTCCACGCGGCCATATTGAGGACCGACCTGCGTCTGCTCGTGAAGTCTTCTACTGAATGGGCCCCGGAGGATTTGACTCTTATACGGGCAGCCGTAGACCGTAACAATATCATTGCCTTAGTTGCAGAAAAAAAAATTTTTAGGTATATTGCTTGATCAGAAGCTAACTTTCCAAGAACGTGTAAATAATCTGTGTAAAAATGCCTGTAGGGGTCTCAATGTATTAAAATCATTAACAGGGGAGCATTGGGGAGCTGATCCAAAGTTGTTATCAATGCTTTATAAAAGTATAGTCCGAAGTCATTTTGATTACAGCACATTATCATACTTAAATGCAAACAGATTGATTTTAAAGAGATTAGATATAATACAGAATAAAGCTTTGCGTATAATAACTGGGGCTATGTGCTCTACACCAATCCATGTAATGGAAGTAGAAAGTTGTATTCCTCCACTTTTACTAAGAAGGCTACAAATTGCTGAACGGTTTTGTGTTAAATTAATCAGTTCAAAAAATGATTTAGTTTTAAAAAAAATACTTCCTTATGAAGTTCCTGAGTTTGATGATAGCTCATACATTGATGTAAATATGCTTTTATCTGGTCGATTACCAGACATCCTAAGGATTGTTTTATACTTACAGACCCAAACCAAAAATGTGTATCAAAGTAAACCATGGCTTTTATATAAAATAGAATATGATGCTTTACTGAACATTAATGTTTCTGTATGTCAAGAAAAAGTGAATTCTCAAATGGAAATGTTAAGATATCTAGCTGATAACGATTTTTATACAATGTATACAGATGGATCAAAATCTGAAGAGTACACAACTTCAGCATTTTATGATTCACAAAATAAAATATCTAAAACTTTTAAAATTCACAATTTATGCACTATTTTTACACCTGAATGTTATGCAATCTACTTAACTTTATAGTACATATAAAACATTGCGAATTCACAGTTTCTAATTGTAACTGATTCAAAAAGTGTTATAACAGCTATTGAATCTAACAAAATGATTACAAAAAAAATTACATTATATATAGGTATAATATAAGAAACAATCTTAGTAAAATAAAGAAGACTGTTACCTTTATGTGGGTCCCTTCACACTCTGCTCGACAATGCTGGAAATACCATTTACAGATAAATATGCCTTGTTAAGCAAGAACTTGAGATCCTTATGGAAGGCATACTGGGAAGAAATAAGCAAGTCCAAAGGAATTTGGGGCTTAGCTTTCCATTGACGTCAGTGGAGTTTGGTGTTGATACGTATTTTTATAGAAAGATTACACTATTATAAGCACACACACAATGTCTCAATATACGGAAAGGCGTAATTTTTGAGAAAAGAATAATTGAAAACCAATTATTCTTGCAATGTTTACGTCTAATTTGCTAATAAACTGACGCCATTTTGTAATGTCATTGTCGACGTCAATAGGGATGTCGATTCTTTCCGAAAAAGGTCAATTTTTAAATCGATTCAAATCGTAAGCTGATGTATCGGTTCACAAAAAATCGATTTCTAAAATGTCTATATTTTTTTAATGTTTCTATTTATAATGTAAATATAAACCCATTTTATGAAAAACAAGAAAGATACCATGATAAATGATCTCTTATTGAAATTTGTTTTATTTAACAGTACCTATTAGGGCAGATAAATAAAATAGGTTAGGTTCAACTTATGTCAAAGAACCGAATTGATTGACCCCGACTCCACCTGGTACGAGTCTGTCCTACCCCTAGAGTGGTTTTATAGAGCCGGAGGCGCGTAGGGGGAGCAGCCTCCGCCTGCTGTAACAAATCGTAGGCATCGGACGAGCCGGAGCGGCTGAGGCTGGTCGCCGAAGGCGACCAACAAGCCGAAGCTGCGGAGGCGAGGAGGGATGCCTGCGATTTGTTACGCTAAGGCGTAGAGGTTGCTCTTCCCGCAGCGCCGGAGACGTAGCAGTCTCAAAATAGATACAGAAATCCTTATGAATCAGTCCCCTTATTTTTTTATGATGAAGGGGATTTTTTTCTCATAAAATGGATTTATATTTACATTATAAATGCAAACATGAAAAAAATATCGATATTTTAGAAATCGATTTTTTAGGAATCGATACATCAGCTTACGATTTGAATCGATTTAAAAATCGACCTTTTTCGGAAAGAATCGACATCCCTATTGACGTCGACAATGACATTACAAAATGGCGCCAGTTTATTAGCAGATTAGACATAAACATTGCAAGAATAATTGATTTTGAATTATTTTCTCAAAAATTACGCGTTTCCGTATATTGAGACTTTGTGTGTGTGCTTATGATAGTGTAATCTTTCTGTAAAAATACGTATCAACACCAAACTCCACTGACGTCAATGGAAAGTCGTACCGAATTTGGTATTATGAAATACAAAAAATCCCGCCAGCCACTCCTTGGTACAACAGAAAAGGGATTAATAATAGAAAATTCATTACGACTGTAAATAGAATGAGATTTGGACATAGCAGAGTAGCAGCCCACCTGCATCGTTTGGGAATGAAAGAAAATGCAAATTGTGAATATTGTGGAGACACGAAAGGAGACCTAAAACATCTGGTTTTTCAATGGAGTCAATTTGGTTTGAATAGATTACTCCTCATTAATTCCATTCAAGATATTAACAATGATAAAGTTCCTGATACTCATCAAAGTTTATTAGCTGATGAAAACTTCTTCCGACCATTATATTCCTTTATATCTGGTGTCCAAGTTATATAAAAATGAGAACAACGTGATATTAATCAATAGTGCAAACATAAACAAACTGTGAATCAATGTGAAAGTGAATTTTTGATGAATGTATCGTAAAGTTAATACATTGTAACTTCAGGCTCAGAAGGGCTAGAACCCAGAGCCGTAAAGCCAGTTAAAAAAAGTACTCTGTGATACTGATACATCAAGCAATTCTTAAAAAAAAATGTATTTGTATTGGAGGTGGGCAAAGTGTATCATTTTTGGGATTGGAACATTTGCATCTTGATCACTGAAATGTTCCGAAACACTGATATGTTTCATTTGTCTCATTTGTATCATCGACTCCAAAAGATATAAAAGAAAGAATGTTCCGAATACATTAAGTTGCGTCGCGGGCATTTATTACTGACTGATCCGTGAAATGTTATGTGGCAAAAATGCTGAATAATATAAGTGCTTAGATTATTTATTGTGTACTATAATACGATTGTATATAAAATCGATTCTCCTTCATACTTTAACAAAAATGTCACTATGTCAATTCATTATTTACAAAAATGTCCATTTACACAAAACAGCAATGTCTATGTACACAGAATTTACTCGTAAAGTAACTCTAAACTTTATGATGAAAAGGAAAAAAGTAAATTCACAATAATCACTACGCAAAGAAATCCTAAACATTACTCAGTATGTTTTCGTAAACAGTCGCTAATGAATATAAACAATTTGACAAGTGCCGCATCAACGTAAAATGACAACTTGTTACATACAAAACGTTACATACAAAAAACGACCGTATAGTATTTGACACATAAGCGCCTTAGTGGTAATTTTTACTTGCATGAATAACGTCAGCGAAAATCCGTACGAGATGAGTGATACACTTCTTATTTTTTATCTCTATCTGACTTGTGTGAATTATAATTATTTCGCCCGCTCACTCGCCACTCGTGACTCAATAGTTAAGTTAATCATTGTCTCAGTCTCTCTCTCTCGCTCGTGGCTCAGTCGCCTCGCAAGCGACGCGTCGCGCGAAATGAGCAAAGAGCAAAGTAATGTTTCACTGTTCCAGATACAAATGATACATTTAAAACGTTGTTACTGAACCAATCTTTTGTGTCACTTCAGTGATTCGTATCAGTGAGTCGTTTCCGTAAAGAGATACACACGCCTAATTTGTATTCAAAATAGACATGAAATGTATTTAATCTTGTTGAAAATAGAATTGTTTTCCCCAGAGCCATAAGTGATTAATATTTAAATAGTTGTAAATATGAGTTTTTCGATCGATGAAGTTAACTTTCTTGTTTATCGTTATTTACAAGAATCAGGTACTCTTACCCTCGTTCCATGTTGGACGCGCTTTCAATTTTGCCATCTACTTGGTCATTCATTTTTTAATATAAAATTCGATTATAGGGAATATGTAATTGATTTGTTTCAAATTTTTTTTACAGGATTTCATCATTCAGCTTACACATTTGGAATCGAGTCTCATATTTCTCAGAGCAATATAAATGGAGCCCTTGTACCACCGGCAGCATTACTTAATATTTTGCAAAAAGGTTTATTATATACGGAAGCAGAAATAACAATTGGAGAAGATGGTAATAAACCTCGCAATATGATTTATTATTATTATTTTATTATATAGTGGTCTTGTCTAATTATAAGTAAATATGTAAGATATTTACACTATAATTAGCATAAATATTCTAAGAAACATTATATTATTAAAATAATATATTAAACTAAATAGAGTATAAATAAAATAAAGTCCTACCAAATGGCAGCCCCCAGTGGGAGAGTACACAGCCAAAGGTTAGAAGAAAAGGGAAAGAAACTGATGGATGATGCGCATGGAATTAAGGAGCACATAATTTCTCCTATTGAACTTGAAATGGTTAGTTGTGGTGTCCCTGTTGCCTTGAGATGACCTGATGACAGCCTGCAATTAACTCATTTGTAGAGATGACTTTATTACACTCAGCATACCATCCTATATATCAGTTACCTTGAGAGTCACTCCATGTATTGTCTTTTTTTTAAATCTGTTTTGATTTTCACAAGGGTTTTGTCTCAAGGAATGGTAATGTTGACTAAAAATATTCAAAGCAGTTTCTAGTCCATGACTCCATACTTCGGAGCAAACTCCTAGTGTAGGATCCTGGCTACTAGGTTGTGGTTGTGCTAATTACTCAGAGTTAGAAAGGGCTAAAGAAGATATGCCTAAATGACTCACCGTGATGGCAAGATACTCAACATATGTTGAAGCTGCCATCCTTTTGAATGTATCTCCAATAATTGTTGGTTTTAATAAAGTTATTCACAGAATACTTACTTTAAATTATTATTAATTAATAATGACATTTTTCAGGTACTGAAACCCGTCTTACTGAGAGTTTAAGTTTAATTGATGCTGTCACTCCAGACATAGTTGCGGCCCGTCAAAATGCTCATAATGCTCAGAAACAAGCAATCAAAGAACCTGGCTCAGGTGGTGAGCAGAATGGTGTTGATGTATGTATCAAATTAGAAATGTTTTTATATATGTGAGCTTGTTAACAATATATTAATAATTAATGATTTTACTTAAAACTACATCAGGAGCTAATAATTAATTACTAGCAGGCGCCTTGTGGTCATAATTCAACAGTTATTAATTAGTTTTTGAAGTTGTATATATGTTAACTAGGCTGTATTTCACTAACAATTACATATTAATATATCAAATACAGGTATCTAATGTGCAAAACATAAAATAAACATACTATTTTATATACAAAATATAAATAAAAGTACACTACAGGCTATTGAAAAAGGAACATTTTAAAATCATACGAAATTCCCAGCTCATTCAGTCAATCACTCAATATAAATGTAAATAATGAATGTTTTATTTTATATATAATTTGATGTATATGTAATACATATTTACCATGTAGTGGTGGTGCATGAGTATCCACTATCCCATATCGTCCTGTGGGTGTTGTAAGAGGCGACAGATGGAAAGAAGTCAGGAGATGGGCAGCAGGGTCTCCCTAATAACAATTATTATTATTATTTATTCTGTAAAAAAACATAATTTTCTTTTCATATGTGTTAATTAACTTATAAGACATACAGACAACCATAGCTCAAAATAAGTGCATAACTAAATGGAAACCCAGTAGACCAAAATACTCATATTATTTGTAGTATCTCTTATACACATTTTATGTTAATTTCGGATACATAATTATTTAAAAAAAATTGGGGATAACGAGGGGGGTTCACATCAATATATCTTTGAATGAATAAAAATATAATGATCGAACTTCACATTAGAAAGTTCGTTTGATCATTTATTACACTTCTTCTTCAGATATAATTTGCTTACCAGCTATTTGGGGTAAAAAGTTTTAAAATATAAAACAATAATTAAATTATGCTTTCATTTTAAAACAGAAAATCTTATATAATTAATCTTTATTAATTATAGTTATTAAATTATTGATTATGTGCTGACAATAAACCATGTGATTAGTCAACATCTCCTTCATTGAATCAACTTCTTAAACAAATCATATCTGAAGAATGAAGCGACTAAGTATAATTATATCAAGTCGTAGTATTTAACTTTCGAAAATATTAGAGACAATCTAATAGAGAAATCATAAATTTGTGTTCTAACATGCAAATGAATAATTTATAATATTGGTAAGTAATACAAAATGATGTGATGTGTAATTTAATTAGCATTAATTACTTGTCTTTCAGGGTACAACATGTAGTGCTACAGCAGCCCAACCAGGAGGGGCAGCAACTCCAAGTGCTCCAGAAAATATGGATGTTGATCAATCCATTGAAATTCCGGCCAGTAAAGCAACTGTGCTAAGTGGGCATGAGTCTGAAGTATTTATTTGTGCATGGAATCCTAGTACAGATTTATTAGCTAGTGGTTCTGGTGATAGTACAGCAAGGTATTCTCATGTAACTTTTTATGGTATATTACATTAATCTAGTAATAATTACATATGTATCGAGAAATTCTGAAAAATCTATTCATTTATTTCTGATGTTCTAAAATTCGAGATAGTCATTATGGAAAATCTATGTCTTATGAAATGTAATTTATTTATAAATTCTTTTTTTTTTACAAACTAAATTTTATAAAAATTAAAAAGTATTACCAATATTTTTTTTAGGATTTGGGATATGTCTGATAACCCTGCAACTACCCCAAATCAATTAGTATTGAGACATTGTATTCAAAAGGGAGGAGCAGAAGTTCCGAGCAATAAAGATGTCACATCTCTGGATTGGAACGTAATACCTACAACATGCTTTTTTTTCATTTTATAATTGAAATGTTTATGGTTTATAATACATAACTAGACTTATGTATTTAATGGTAATATATAGAAATCACAATGCTAACTGTTTAACTTATAAAATTGTGGTGTTTTAGTGTGATGGCAACCTATTGGCAACTGGATCATATGATGGTTATGCCAGAATTTGGACAACTGATGGTACCTTAGCCTCAACACTTGGTCAGCACAAGGGACCAATATTTGCTCTTAAATGGAATAAAAGAGGAAATTACATATTGAGTGCAGGGGTATGTTTTAAATAATTGATGTTACGCATTTCTTAAACATAATTTTGACTAAGACTCAATTTTGAATTACATTGCAATATGATATTTAAATAAGCTATTGTTAATTCCAGGTTGATAAAACTACAATTATATGGGATGCAGCATCTGGACAATGCACTCAACAGTTTTCTTTTCATTCTGCACCAGCTCTGGATGTAGATTGGCAGACAAACACTTCATTTGCATCATGTTCTACAGACCAATGTATTCATGTGTGTAGATTGCATGTGGATAAGCCAATTAAAAGTTTTCAAGGGCACACTGTAAGTATCATCGTTATCATTATTATTACAGCCCTTCACAAGTCCTCTGGTGAACACAGGCCTCCTCCAAGGAATGCCACTAAACATGGTCTTGAAAACGCTGCATCCATCAACTTCCTTCATCTCTTACCAGGTCGTCCATTGCCACTTTAACTTATTAATACGTTGGGCTATATCGGGTATTCTGGTTCTACTGTAGATATCTTCATTACGAAGTCTATCACGCAGATAAAATCTCCATGGCTTTCTGAGTGGCCTTGAGCTTCCTCATATGGTCAACTGTGAAGTACAATGCCCAAATCCATATGTCATCATTGGCAACACCCTCTGGTTGTACTCAATTCTTTTTTAGTTTTGAGGTAATATGAGTGACGTGAAGATGTATCTTACTCTTGCGAACGCTGTCTGACAGAGTTAAATCCGCCGATTGACCTCCTGTTCAAAGTTGGACTTAACCAGATGGAGAATTTATCCTAGGTAAACATATTCATCTACAACTCTGAGCATAGTGCTCTCATTAACTACTGGCATAGCTGTAACATGGACGAACAACAACCTTTGTTTTGTCAATGTTCATTTTAAGACAGGATCGACGTGGAGACTTAGACTAGACTAGAGTACTGAAGTCCTCCAGTAATTCTGCTATATTGAGTATATCGTCGGCAAATTGAAAGTGAGTGATGTACTCGCCATTGATGTTGGCATTGTATCCTTTCCAGTCCAGTTCCTTAAAAACGTCTTTTAATATAGTGGTGAAGAGTTTCAGTGGTATAATCTCATTCTGTCTTGCACCTCCCTTCAGTTGGATAGGTTTTGTACTAGGATCGCCATCGTAGTCCCACTGTACAAATACTTCAGCACTTCAATATACCGACAGTCAAATTGGCACTGCTGAAGAGAATGTAGCACTGCCCAAATTATGATAGAATCAAAAAGAAATTCATAGTCTACATACCTAAGACAAAGTGGCAGATTGTACTCCTTGCTTTGATCTTTTGTATAACTTGCTGAAGGGAACATATTATGTGGTTTATGGTACTAAAAGTTTTTAGAAATCTGCTTGTTCGTAAAGCTATGAGACAACAATTATTATAATTTTATTAACATGCATCAGCCCCTTTTCACATGGTCAAAATTAGCTTTTCAAAATTACTTTGCATTAGCTTATACTTATATTACTTCATTTCAAACATCCTCCAACATTAATTAATACAAAATTACAAAATAATATGTGAAAAAAAAATTGCATTGATCCATGAGTCATAAATAGAGGTAATTTTATGTTTTAATAACTTCCGAATTTCTGTTTCAGAATGAAGTTAATGCCATTAAATGGGATCCACAAGGACAGTTGCTTGCATCTTGTTCAGATGATAAGACTTTAAAAATCTGGTCCATGAAACAGGATACTTGTGTTCATGATTTAGAAGCACATTCAAAAGAAATTTACACAATTAAATGGTCTCCAACTGGGCCAGGTACACAGAATCCTAACATGAATTTAATTCTGGCAAGTGCATCTTTTGATTCTACTGTTCGTCTATGGGATGTTGAAAGAGGTGTTTGTATACACACATTAACAAAACACACGGAACCAGTCTACAGTGTGGCTTTTTCACCTGATGGCAAATTTCTTGCTAGTGGCTCATTTGATAAGTGTGTCCATATATGGTCAACACAGACTGGTGGTCTTGTACATTCATACAAGGGTACAGGTGGAATCTTCGAAGTTTGTTGGAATTCGCGTGGTACAAAAGTTGGTGCGAGTGCAAGCGATGGAAATGTTTTTGTACTAGATTTACGTAAGCTATAACAAGTGCATTAAAGTTAAATGATCAAATGTATGTAATGGTTACAATGACCGTTTATTTATATTTTGACACATATTTTGTTAAATGTATTATTTTAGGACCTAAATATACGGATTAAATTTAAATTAAAAATATTTTTTTTTTTCTTTTTTAGCCTCTAAGCTAAACTTCTATACCAAATATACTCCATAATCTGCTGTCGTAGGGCGTCCCGAGTGAAGGTCATCTTTGGTGGATATTCATCTACGTTTAAATTCGGCGCACTAGCGCGCAGCTGCAGGATATGGCAGAGCATTTACCCCGATCCTGTGTATTCCATAAAAATATTGATTGAAATTTTTCAAGCACAGCTTCTTAATCCGCACTGCAAAACATGTGGATAATAGGTTTTTTTTAAAAATTTTGAATAATCAATTGCTCTCGTGCTTTGCGTCATTGTGCAAACTAGCGTTCGTATTAGCGTTAAAACAGCGTTGCGCGTTCCGTGATAAAACTGTTGCCGTGCTCGATCATAGCGCACGGATCTTGCACGCTAAATTGCCACGCACCTTAACAGGTTGCTATATAATGTCTTATATTGGCATTATTTTTAAATGATATTGTTATTTTTATAGCAATTTTGGAGAAAGATCTTTCATATAGTATCTTTATACAAACAAACTCACTTCTTATCGTTAATTTCGTTTGAAATTGAATTAGCATTGTAATCTAAAACCAAAGTTAACAAACAACGGAATTCTATCAACTAGATATCGCAACGACTTGACTACTGGGCTGTGGGTTGGAATCCCGCACGGGGGTATGTGTTGTGTATTGCCTACATGTTTATCCATGTGCAATTTATGTATGTAAACATCTCGATGATACAGGACATAAAAATTATACTGTCAAGGTTACTTTTAAACAAGTAAAATTAAAAATGTTGTACAACCGACATCAATATAAATAAATTGAGAACTTCATTAATGTAGTCGATGTCCATTAAATACCCATTATTAAGGATAACTCAAAAACTACTGGTCAGATCTTCATCAACCACACGAGAAGCACCAGCTTTCAAATAATAATAATAATCTTTATTAAAATAAAAAGAATCAACAAAATTGGTTCACCTAGAAAAAAGTTTTGAGGTAACAAACTCCTCCTTTTTCGAAAACGGTTAAAAACTGTTTAGATAGATATTAAACCAGAATCATTATTTGGTTAGAAAACTTAGTAGCTCTCATTATCGTAATCAACATAGGCCTTCCCCGATAAGTTGCTACAAAATGTTTCATCAAATTATCACTTGTTGGGTGTCGCCAAATACTGCGCTTGTCAGTAAGCAGATGCCACTCGAGAAGCATTCTTCGTTTGTTCTCGGTTCTTTAAACTATTAGGCCTTTTGCCGCTTTAGCTGATTGATCCGTCGAGCAAAGTTAATTATTCAAATATTCTTCTTAATAATCAATGGGATATTTTAGTTACGTATTTAAGCACGAGTGAAACTTCGTACCTGTACATGGCTCACGGACAGGGATACTCAAATTACTGTTTTTCTTTATTGAAAACTATGAGACGAAATATCGCTAGTTGGTAGGATTCCTTTTGCTGGACTGCTAGAATTTCGTCTGGTTAAGTATCACTCGGTAGTGCACGCACTCATGCTGTGTTCCATTTGGGAAGGGTATAAAGAGGTTTCTTTCATAAAAGAAAACCATATCTCATTATAGAAATCGTCATCTGACATCTTTATGTGAATTCTCATATCATGAGTAAATCGGTTCCATTAGTTGGTAAGTATTTTATAAGCTAGAAAACTAAGTAGCTAAGAAAATAAAGAAATAACTTATTCATAGATATTCCATAGAAAAGGTATAGCATTTTTTAAAATATCACAAGAAAAACATGAGTGATTGAGTATATAAGATTCAATAAAACCAAACGCATCGCCTCATTTTCATGTGAGCTTTTTCAACCGTGTGCAGTCAGCGGCCAGCTATATAATACAGCGAAAAGCTAGCTCTTAGTGAAGAAAAGATGTTAAGCTTATTACGCATTCGCTCCACCAAATTCCAGTATAAGCTCAGCTCGGCGCGCCCTGAACGCAAAGTATAGTTAGATATGTCGCCAGGCGTACTTAAAAAACAATCTTCATCATGTTATGTGGTCATATTTGCTAATAAGTTTTCTAAAAAATTTCGGAAATACATTCACCTATGGATTGACGACCTGAAGTACATAGGTAGACAAAATAATTGTCAATATCACAAGCTGGGCGCTAAGATGATGTCGATGCACACAAAAGGGCGACCGAGCACAGCAGGTCTACCATGATCTACCACTCTTACAGCGATTCAATTCTGTTGCACCAATTTAAGCCCCCAAACTGAATTGCTCCATTGCTTTCGCTCTAATTGATTACATTACATTCTGAAATTTAGCAATTAGAGCAAGTTATATCCGACACTATTCTGATGATATCCCGGGCGTTAGCCTGAGTGAGATTAGAATAGCTCTCCAGTATCTTAAAACCGGCAAGGTCCCGGGTGAGGATGCCATTACCGCGGAGCTTCGAAAGCGAGCGCGAAAACAGTTTTTCATCAGGTTATTTTGTTCTTAAGAAAGGCGACGACGCTAGCAAAGAACTACCGACTTTGAAGAGTTTGTACAATAGGCCTACGATGGTTATCGGAGTACAGAACCAGAGTAGGAAACATATGCAACTGCAATGAAAGGAGATGTAAGAGATGGTGATATTATGTTCCTGAAACTCTTCACCGCTGCAACTGTTTTTAAGCAACTAGACTGGAAAGGATACGGTATAAACATCAATGGCGAGTACTTCACTCATCTTTGATTTGCCGATGATCTAATCTTTATGACAGACTCGCTGGAGGACTGCAGCCCTATGCTCAATTACATATTACTTAATAGTTTACTAAACAGATACATCACTCCCATACAAAAGTGAAAATACCTACGCTATAATAGCCTACAAAATATTAATAATAATATCTGCTGTTCGCAGCGAGAAGAAAATGTACCATAAGTACGTGGATAAAGAGTCGAGATTGTGTTGACCCGCCGTACGCCTCACGTGCAAGCGTGTCATCGCACGAATGCGCTAGGGTTGTACCTATGATGATTATTGTAATAAAACGAATCTTGCGAAATAACCATATTTTTTATTTGTCAATAAAATATGTTTGAATTTTATAAAATGATTTAGAACGTGAGAGAGAGAGAGAGAGATTTAGAACGTGGTAGAGCCATGCTGCAGCTATATTAGTAGTATAGTTGAAGCAGGAATGGATCGGCTCGACCGGGGAAGGACCACGCTCTCACAGAATACCAGCGTAAAATAGCAGCTTAACGCTGCTGTGTTTCGTATGGTGAGTGTAGAGAACCGGAGACCCTTTTTACTGGAAATGAGGCATTCCATCTTAGTCCTCACGGGTGACAACGCATCTGCATTTTGATTTGTAATAGAGGATAAATGTAGATGTCTATGGGCCGCAGTAACCACTTACCATCAGGTGGACTGTGCGCTCGTTTGTCACCCTTATCCTATAAAAAAAAATACATTTTTTCCTTCTCGGAATTCTCGGTTATTAAATTTTATCGTTGAAAATATCCTAAATCGCGCAAATAATTTTAATAAATAATCATGAGGAAAACAGGAGCAAAGCGGAGGAAAATCAATGGTTTGTAAAATTTGTAACACACTGCTACCAGGCTGATTCATTGTGGCGTTGTCAAAATTATTACAGACCAAAGACGTATTAAAAAAGATACTTTAAAACATCTTAGTTTCAGACTTATTATATAATATAATTTATTATATAATTTGGGTGTCCAGGTTGTCACTCAATTTATAAATCACAGCACTGTTATGCTGTTGCTTCGATGTAATCTTATAGTTAAGAAAAAAATGACAATTTTTCATTTGTTTTTGACTGACACCCATCCACTGCACAATAATTACGTGGTTTCGTGATTTCGACGAGTAAGCGCGGAAAACGTGCGCAGTGCAAGGGCTCAGGCGGGCGTGCAGCAGCCCAATGTCGGTTGTATCGTGGGTGATACGCAGAACGGTAGGCATATAACGCAGGGCCTTGAGCGAGTGACGGAGGCCTGGCTCAATGATCTTAATAGTTTCTCCCAACAAATTGTTAAGACCTAAATATAATGAACACCTTGACAAAACAAAGATCATGTGTACCATCGATGTTGCAACTATGCCGGTAGTTATTGGAAGCACTACGCTCAAAGTTGTCGAGGAGTATTCCTATGACAAATGTCCGACTAGGTTGCCTTGTCGCGGCGGTGAACAAAAAGGAACCCATTTCACGTCACGTATACCTCAAAACTTGAAAATAATATTATACAACCAGTGCGTGATGCCTGTGATGACATATGGATATGCAACGTTGTCCTTCACTGCTGGCCGTATGAAGAAGTTCGAGGTTGCTCAGCGGGCTATTGATAAGATTATGCTCGGAGTTTCCCTGTGTGATAGACTTATAATTAAATTAGACTTGCAGTAAAACTAGAGTAAACGAGATAGTCCAATGAATCAGTAAGCTGAAGTGATAATGGGCCGTTCATGTAACTCGAACAACAGACAACCCATGTGTAAAGAAGTGGCTGCCTCGCATCGGAAAGTGTAGGGCGTATGTACTTACATGTGATATGAGATTTCTTGTGTTTTGTTAACTTTATCTATATGTAGTAAATCAATCGGCACTTCCTCCCGCTTAAAGCACCTCACGAACATCAGAGGGTTGCACACCAACCTCGATCCGGTCCACCACCACCTCGAGACCGAGAAGTCATACCTATTCTTAATGGAGACGCAGATAGCAACTCCGTTTGATGTGGCGTACCTCAACTACCTAAGTTACACGCTTGAACATAAGTTTAAATAGCGCGCTAGGGTCTGTGTGTACGTCCGCGACGACGTTTGCTGTCGGAGTCTCCGTTGCTTTGAGGTTTTAGGGTTTTCTACAATGTGACTTTT